AGAGGGGGCGATTCCCGCGTCCGCGTCGGCGCCCCGCCCCCACCCCTCCCCAGGGGACTCTTGTGGGTCGGTGCACAGCTGGGGCTCCCCCCCTACCCAGCCCGGCCTCCCCACAGAATAAAGTCAGTCTGTATTTAATGGTTATGGCGGATGCGAGGGGGATTTGGCAGAGGCAGGAGAGGGGCCCTCCACTCTCAAACATCGCTCCTTACGTCGTGTGAGTCTACCAACCCACCACGACCCCATATTCTTGTGCGGGTGTCTGACTCGAATGACAAGCGAGCTGATTTTTTCAGTACATAGCTGGGAAATGTAGTGAGTGATAATAGAGATTTCTCTTTCATTTTTTACGCTTGACTTGGTTATTGTTGCTTTTCTTTTCCCGTGATTCCTTCTGAGGATTAGCTCTGACTTCCCCGCTATTGGCGGTCAAAGTGGCCCCGACTCGGGATGACAATTGACGGGGATCAAGGGATTGCCCATTCTGTGCCTGTAAGAACGGATTCGTGCCACAGAAACTCATCAAGTGGAGGCGGAGAATAAAGACCGTTCGGGGGTAAATGTATTCATTGAGAAGAGTTCTCCCAAATTGCTTCTAAGTTTTTTTAATGAAAAGTAACGATTGCAGCAATCAGCGGCTTTTTGGCGGATTACAAATCTGGAGGGAGCTGCGGCGCGACATTGAAAAGTGCCCGCCCCCCTCTCCCCGGCCCCCGCCTCCGCGCGGGGGCAGGCGGTTCACAGGGGCGGCGGGGCCCGGGCCCACACCACGAAAAGGACGGGAGGGGGCGAGCCGAGGAGGGTGTGGGCGCTCCGGCGCGTCCCCCACTGCAAAGGGACGCGGAGGTGTCCACCCTGGCGCGGGAGACGCGGGGAGACCCCGCGAAGGAAGGCGAGAGTTGGGGAGCGGAGAGGAGGCCGGGGGAGGCCCGCCCGGCGGCACCCCCACCGCGAGTGGGCGAATTCCTGGCATCTGGAACGAAAAGGGGGTGGGGTGGCGGGCGAGCCCATCATCCCCTAGAGGGAAGGGGAATGCAAGTGCCGCCTACTCCCCTACCTTCGATCCTAGCCCTTGCACGCTCACTTTTCTTTTAGGGACGCCCAATTCTGCACCTGTAACTGAAGCTCGGGAACCCCCGCTCTGCAGGGCGGGGACTTCCCTCCAGGCGGGCAGCAGGAGGAGGGAGGCAGGGTCACCCCCGGCGCGGTGTGGGGCTTGCACACTTAGGACTCACCTGACCCAAGGGCGTCCATCTGGCGCGCGTGCCCTTGTCCTCATCGCGCACGGGTGCAGCTTCTCCAGGTTGCCCCGCGCGCGGGCCTAGGCGGCGCCCCGCAACCCAGAAGCAGGGAGCGGCCCTGGAACCGGGGGGAGGTCGGAGGCAGGAGGGCACGACGGATCTGCGTTCCCACAGAGGCCGAAATCAGCCACGGCGGCCTAAGCCAGCCTCATTCTGCCTGGTGTTTAAATGTTCGTTTATTTTCTTAGTTAGCAGGGGAGTAGAAGGTAAATCTTTTGGTCTTCGACTTTTTGAAGGCTCTCTGAAGTAAATAAGGGGAGCAGAGAGCACAGGGCCGGCAGAGGAAAAGAGAAAGAAAGACTTGCCCTTCGCCTTGCCCCTCCTCAAGGGGAAGAATACATCTGCAGGCAGGTCCACGTCGCTGAAGGTTTAACTTTTTTTCTTTGCAGCTTGTCAATGCGACCATTGCTTTGATGGGACGCTCCTCAAGGTGACACATTTCTGAACTTCACCCCCTTTTCAAACTAACTCCCTACCTCCTTGTTAGTGGCCGGCTCTGAACTTCTGCAGTGTTTTTGTGTGAGTCAAGGCTCATTCACGGTGCCTTTGTGGGCCTCTCCTCCTTTCAGGCCTCAGCGTGTTACACCAATTAAAGGGCGACGTGCTGTAAATGTAATGGGCCGCGCCGCGATTGTTTCTGACAAGCAACAAAACACATAGATCCACCCCTTAGATTAGGCCGTTGAAGGGGAGGTTGAGGCCGGTCAGTTTACTGAATAGTTTGTGAACTGTAATTCTGAGGACTCATGTGAAAAAAAGTCTCTTCCCACCTCCCTCACTTTGCTCCCCCTCCCAGAAAGTGCCAAAAAAGAAAAGGAACAAGGAAAAAAGAAAAAAAAAGTGACATCCACGGGGCGGAATGGGGTCACTAAAGAAAAAACCTGTGTGAGGGGCTTGTTCTGTCGCTGGGACAGTCCAAAAGCTCCTTTAGCTCTTCACACCGCCGCTGCCTTGCTCTCTGAAAGCAGCCAGCCTGGCCCCCATTTTACTGGCCACAGCAGCCTCTGCCGGGCGGAGGTCCTGGTCATCCACAGTTTAGGACTTGAGATCAGACAGGAGATAGTAAGAAGTCAGTCAGGTTGCCTAGGGATGTCCACGGGACCCTGAAGGGGCAAGGCAGCAGCTCCTCCCACCCCCCATCCTCTCAGCCCTGGCTTCCCCTTCAGCCTGGATCTTCCCACACTGCACTGCAGAGGCCCCTCACCAGCTCTGACCAGGCTCTCTCCGTCCTCCTGGAAGTTTCTCCTCACCTCCACGCAGAGGTCTGCACCCCTCAGTCATCACCTGAACCTCAAGGAGCACATTTCACCTAGAAAGGAAAGAGAGAGGATTACTTCACCTTCCTTACAAATTCTGAGACCCAGAAGAGGAGTGACTAGATCCCAGTCACCAAGCGAGTCCCTGGGCCACAACTGAAGATCAGATGTCCTGTCCTCCAGGGAACCCAGGCTCCTGCCGCAGTTTTGCTTCCATGCTTCTCCTGCCCCCGCGTGTTCTCAGCCTGCCACCCTTTGCCCGCTCCAGCCCTCCCAACCCAGCTCTGCTATCAGAGAGGGAAAGTCAGTTTTGCCTTTTCTTTGACACTTTTCCCAGCTACTGCTACTCAGTGTGTCCCTATTCCTAAATTCCCCCACCGCCTTCCTTTCTACACTCTCAGATCTTTTTTTTAATTTACTTTTGTGCGTGTGTGTGTGCGCGCGCGCGCGCGGGCACACAATTTAGAGACAGCCTCTAAGCTGCCCAGGCTGGGCTCATACTTGCAATCTTCCCACTTCAGCTCCCCACAGAGTCTTGGGATTACAGGCCTGTGCCACGCTCAGCTACAGAAATCTATTCACTTTTCAAGATGCTGTGCGAATGACACTTGTGTGAAGCCATCGCAGGGGTGCAAAGAGCCTAAGGAAGGAAGGAAGTGTAGCCTGATGCAGGCACTGAAATGAAGAATCCCCGGGGGTTGCTGGAGCTAAACTGGAGAGAAGGCAAAGGCCAGATCCCAGCAGCTTTGCGGACTATGCGAGGACCTTGGATTGTACCCCAGATGCAACAGGGAGCCACTGTGCGTTTGGAACAGTGAGATCCTTTGCAAGACTGAACTTATAGAGAATGTTTCTCTATCTTTGCTCCTTGTCCCATTGTCTGTATATAATGCCCAAGAAATATTTGCTGAACTGGTGAACCAGTGACTCATTAAAACTCATACCACTCGGCCCTGCCTCATTCCTTCCTGTGGAAAACCAGGGTGTGAGAGCTAAAGATGGCAGGGACCAAGTCACTGTGAACAGCACCTGACTGAACTGGTTCCATGCTGGGGATTCAGGACTCCTTCTCCATCAGAGAAAGATATGCAAGCAAAAGAACTTGAAATCAGGAAGGCAGACACTTCTTCCCTTGCAAGTTCTAGTGGCCTTACGCTTACCTTGGGGAACAAATTAACTTAGTCATGCTGAATCCTTGATTTCTTCACCAATAAACTGAGAATGATACTACTTAATTGTAGCAGATGATTGTGAGGACTAAAACTTTTCCTATGAGAATGACTTGCTTTTGAAGGAATACATTAATGAGTGAAAATTAGCACATGCCCTAGAGCCAGGGCAAAACCAGTAATGAAGGTCCTACTTTAAAATGATAAAAAACTGGTCAGAAGCCAGCAGAGTCCTCAGAACCCACCCCCTTGGTGGCAGGTTTCCCCTCTTCTGAAGTTGGGTCAGAGCCCAGCTTGGTCCCACATGTTCCCCCAGGGCAGCCAGCACGGCTGACACCCTTCACACTTGGCTGCCTTCTCTTCTCTCTAAGAAGCCTGATTCAAAAAGCCCACATTCCCTGTTGCATGTAGAAGGCTGCACTTGGATACAGGACAACTGGATTCTGGGAAGCCATGGCAGAAATCATGCAGCCCCTGACTCCTGCTGAGAATCAAGCTTACAACCACTCTTGGCAAGAGGAGACTGGCCCCCCAGCCTCTGGCCTCTCCCCAAACTCTTTCGCCTGGTGACTGTGGGGCTCACGTCCTGGAGGCTCCCAAGGGGGCAAAATGTGAGTACCAGAGCCAGGACTGCCTGCAGGCGCCTGAGCTGTGCGTGTGTGTGTGTGTGTGTGTGTGTGTGCGCACGTGTGTGTGTGTACATGTGTGCACATGCATGCATGTATGCAAGTACGTGTTACAGACTATGTTAGCCTGACAGCTGGTGAGAAAAAAAGAACCACAAAGAGGAAAGGAAGCCTTTAAGTTTCTATCTTCAAGTCAAATTTCTTTTAAAAACATCGCTACACCTTCAGTTAAAGAGAAAGGAGGGTAGAGTGCTTGCTTAGTGTGTGTGAGGTGCTGGGTTCCATTCTAGCACCATGGCATGGAGGGAGGAGAAAAGAGACACACTGGCTGTCTAATCATCCATAGGCATAGGAGTAAGTGTGTGTAAAACCCTGAAGTCAGCTAGCCAATCTGCTGGGGTGACACCCTGAATGTGAAGAGGGTGCCCACAGGTGCTGGGAATTGCTTGGCAAGTCCCTAGCTTCCCCGTGTCCCCAGCCTAAGGAGAAGGCGTCATCTGCATCCTAAGAGACTTTTCACTGCAATCTGATACTGTCTATGGAGTTCCAGCTGCCAACCTGATCGTTCTTACTTTTGATTCTCCAATCCCTTAGTACTGGCCAGTGGGATCGTAAGCAATCACAGTCAAAGGCCCTAGGCGTCTTCTCATATCTACTCTCCCACATTCCTCCCGCCCAGGTGCGTGAGAGGACAGAGGCATCACTGGGGTTCTGGAAGGTTACTGTGATTGAGAGCACAGGTCTGGAGGGAGCTCTCAGAGGCAGCGGTGACAGTGGTCAGGGAGGAGAAGACGAAGCACCTTGGAGATCTCTGTGGGGGGCGGGCCCTGGAGAAGAGGGGCCCTGCACGGTCTGCAGGCGGCGCTGTGCGCCCGGTGAGAGCTGGACAGTGCTCAGATGGCCAAGGGGAAAGGTGAGGCAGCAACCTAAACGAGTGAATTCACTTCCATCTGAAAGAGAATAGTCTAAATTAGGACTCACTCCTGGGCCTGTTCCAGGAGATATTTGTGAAAAGTTGGTTGAAAGAATACCACCATCCAAACCCTAATTTTGCTATTATGTTCAAGCCTCGATTTCTTTGCAGTTTCTAATTAGAAAAATGTTTTCCTGATTTTGTGTCTGCTACTGGCAAGTGACCTCTTAATTTAATTTTGGCTTTTGTTTATACAAAACAATCGCCATGGACACTTTCCTGTGGTGCAGTCAAGATGGGGAAAAAGTAGAATATTAGTAGGTATATATTATACAGTTAATTTAATTAATATCAAGCACCCTTAATGGTTCATAGCCACAAAGTAGGTTTGTGTTAGAGGACATCAGCCTGCTTTGGAGATTTTTGTTTTTCTGAGGGAGGGGTGATGGCCTTTGTATTAAGCTACATCCCCAGCCCTTTTTAAAAATTTTTTATTACAGGGTCTCTCTGAGTTGCTAAACTGCCCAGGGTAGGCACCACCTTGCGATCCTCCTGCCTCAGCCTCCCAGAGGCTGGAATTACAGGAAGGCACCGCCATACCCAGATACTTTGGAGATCTTCAGGGGGAACTTAGAGTTGCAAAAAAGAGAATCCTCTTGAAGAGGACATTAGTGACTGAGGTCAGGACCACCAGCCTGATGCCCTCACCCTTCCTGTCACCTCCTTCCTGCCCCTGGGCCCCAGAAGAACCACTGAGGTTGGTGCCCAGTCAGTAAGTCTATATCCATTTTACCCAAACAGCCAGACTGGAGGAGTGAAGATCTAAAACCTTTTTAAAGACTTTTTTAAAAATTATTTTTCTAAAATAATTTTTTTACTTTTCTATCATGTGCCTTGAGCTGATAAGGGAAATGCTTCTCATTTTCTCCAGTTCCGCAAGAGAGCTATTAATCCTTTGAGAGAACTCTCCTATACAGGAAATGCACATTTAGACACAGAAGCTAAAATTACGCATAAAGTTCAGATTTAGTATTCATGGTACACTTTGCTGCCACGTCCTCTTTCATGGTGAATGAAATTCAGGGCTGCTGAACACAGTTGTATAGGTTTCACCACTAGAAGGAAATATTCATTCAGACTATGGATAGGATGGTATCGTTAGCTCATGGGAGTCGGGAGGTGGTGAGTACAGAAGGGGTTTCTTCTGATTTTTATTTTATCAATTTAAGAAAACTGTGATAGATATTGAAACTAGTGTTTCCTCTGGATGAAATGTTGATTTTTAAGCTCTGGACCCAGGCAACTTGTATCTAAATTCTGCCTCTGTTATATGCTAGCAGAGTCTCCTTGGACAAATTACTTAACTTCTCTGTGTCTCATCTATAAATTTCTCATCTATAAAACCATAGATAAAATTAAGTAATAAGATCAAACCCTCATCATTTTGTGAGGATTAAATGCATTACTCCACAAAGAGTACAGAATAGCGTCCGGTACAGTTCCTCTTGGTTAACATCAGCTATTGTCTGCATCATCCCTGATATGTTGAAAAGCATGTGCACATATCCCCAAATTGTTGGAAAGGGCAGGAAAATGAAATTCCCACTGTTCTGGTAAGAGCATATCCTAGCACTCAGGAGGCTGAGGCAGGAAGATCACACATTTGAACTCAGCCTGAGCAACTCAGCAGGACCCTGTCTCAAAAATGAAATAAAAGGAGGTGGGGATGTAGCTCATGGGTAGAGCCTTTGCCTCCCATGCATAAGGACCTAGGTTCAATCCCAAGTACGAAACAAAACAAAAAAACTGCATTTAGTTGATTTGTAGCCACCTGTTATAACCTTGGCTGTGTCTTCTATAAATTGCAATGTCCTTCTATGCAGACTGAAGATAATAGTATCTGCCTCACAAGGTTGTTTCGAGGATTAAAAACAAAACATGGAAAGTGTTCTGCAAAGTGCTGGCTTTTGAATCATCACGGGCTCCCTAAAGTGTTTGTTTCCCAGACTGAAGTAAGCAGGTCATGACATTGGATACTATTGTCAAAAGTGACATTTGCAGCCAGACCTGGCCGTGCACACAGGTACTCCCAGATACCCAGGAGGTGGACGTAGGAGCACTGCTTGAGCCCAGGAGTCCAAGGCCAACCTGGGCAATACCAGCAAGTCCCAGTCTCAAAAAAAAAGATACTTATAGACCTCTTCAATTTGTTGGTTTTTTTTTGGGGGGGGGTCTGGTTTCCCCATCAACCTCCAAAGTAAAGTGGAACTGCAGGTGTGTGTCATCATGCCCAGCTTTTCTATGCGCCCCCTGCCACCTGATACTGGGGGTTGAACTCAGGACTT